CCAGCTCAAGGCAAATCCGACTAAGTGTCCCATCTCCAGAAGCAAAGGACCGTGGGCCGTGGGGAAGCTGAGATTAAGGTACTAGGAGTCAGCTGTGAGTCCTGCCAGCTGACACCGAGTCTTCTTCCCTCCCACAGTCCACCTCCATTAGCAAATGCTGTCACCTCTACTTCCAGAATCCCTCTGAAATCTACGAACTTTCCCCGCTGTGGTTGCCTACAGCCTCTCTCTCATCGAGGCTGCCATCATCTACTGTCTGGACAACCGTGCCGTCCTCCTCTGGCGCCGCTCCTGCCCACCCCGCTCCATCCCTTCTCCACCTCAAAGCCAGAAAGTTTGCACGATAAGTCAGTCCACGTCACTCCCCTGCCCAAATTCCTCTCAAGGCTCCCCATTTCCCTCCGACTAATAACCAAGATCTAATGTGCTGAGCACACAGGGCTCGATATGATCTGGTCTCTGGTTACCTCCCCGCCGCTTCGCTCACCCGGCTCCGAGCTGTCCCTCCAACCACCCGGTCCCCTGCCTGGAACGCCTCTCGCCTTCCTTCCGCTGCCAGGTTAACTGCGACTCGTGGTCAGTTGTCCCCTTCTCCAGGAAGCCCTCCCCGAGTAAGTCGGGGATCTCCCAGTTCCCCGGGATCTCCAACCCTCGGTCGGGCGCTCCTGAGGTAGGAGTCGGATCCCCAGCGCTGCTCCCGCAGCGACCCCACCTACGCTCCCGGCTCCGCCGCCTCCGTCTGCGCCGTCCCTCGTCCTCCCGGCGCCGCCGGTTTCGCCGCCCATGGCTCCTGCTCCGACTTCGGCTCCGGCTCCCGCTCTGGCTCCGCTGCCTTCGGCCGCGGCGACCCGCTGACCGCGAGCGCGAGCGTGTGTCCCGACCCTGTCTCTTATACACATCTAGATGTGTATAAGAGACAGGCGTAGGGAGGCAGCGATGGGTGGATTTGGAGAGAGTGTTCGAGGCAGAACAAGAGCAAGGGCCTAAAGGCAGGCACTGACTTGGCACGTTCTAAGAACAACAAGGAGGCTGTGTGGCTCAGACAGAGTGTGGGGGAGAGGGAGGAGGCGACGGCAGGGAGGTGGCTGGGGCTGGTGGTGCAGGAGTTATAAGGGTATGAACCAGGCGACCCGAACGCATCTAGGTTGTCAAGGGAGGGCTTCCTAGATGGAAGTGGCATTTGAACTGGTCCCACAGGATGGACAGGAGTTAACACAATAGAGCGCAGGGAATGGAAGATGCACAACCCCAGGGGTGGTTCAGGGGCCTTTAATTTTATTTATTAGAGACAGGGTCTATTAGACACAAAGTCTACTGGAGACAAGGTCTATATTTTTATTCATTAGAGAGAGGGTCTCGCTCTGTCACCCAGGCTGGAGTGCAGTGGCACGATCAGAGCTCACTGCAGCCTTGACCTCCTGGGCTGAAGCCATCCTCTCGCCTCAGCCTCCTGAGTAGCTGGGACTACAGGCGCACACCACCACACCCAGCTAACTTTTTACATTTTTTGAACAGAGGGGGTCTTGCTATGTTGCCCAGGCTGGTCTTGAACTCCTGGGCTCAGGCAAGCCTTCTGTCTTAGTCTCCCGAAGTGCTGGGATTACAGATGTGAGCCACTGCACCCAGTCACGTTTAGGCGTCTTTGTACACACAGAACTGCCAAATATTTTGTTAAATGTTCTACCCATTAAGCTCATACCAAAAAATCTAAACTATGTTGAAACCACTCATTGCGGAGCCCTTAAATATTGGCCACAAATTCGATTGAATTTTCCTGAACATTAATTCTAACTACATATCTAGCGTGGCAAATTATTGCAAATAATTCCACTACCAGAAAATGGCAGACAAAAAAACACAAAGATGACATTAACAAGACTTATGCGGCCAGGTGCAGTGGCTCAAGCCTGTAATCCCAACACTTTGGGAGGCCAAGGTGGGCGGATCATGAGGTCAGGAGGTCGAGACCATCCTGGCTAACACGGTGAAACCCCGTCTCTACTAAAAAATACAAAAAAACTAGCCAGGCGAGGTGGCGGGCGCCTGTAGTCCCAGCTACTCGGGAGGCTGAGGCAGGAGAATGGCCTGAACCCGGGGGGCGGAGCTTGCAGTGAGCCGAGATCCGGCCACTGCACTCCAGCCTGGGCGACAGAGCGAGACCCTGTGTCCAAAAAAAAAAAAAAAAAAAGCTGATGGCGGCAGAAGCTGGCTCATGCGATCTTTCACGATTGAGTGCGGGCTGGGAGTGTCTGGAGTGTTGGGGTCTCCAGAAACAGTGGAAGACTACAGGGACAGAAGCCGCCACCCAGCGGGGCCCACCTTGTTCCAGATGAAGGTGCCCAGCAGGTTGTTGTCTCCGAAGGGGTTGTCGGTGTTGGTGTAGCCCATGTACTCCTCACCCCAGCCCATCTTCTCCCGCTTCTTGCGCTCCTTGGCCTCCTTCTTGGCCAGCCGCCGTGCGCGCTTCTCCTCGGGCGTCTCGAAGGCCTTCATCAGCTCCTCCTGCTGCTTCCGCTCCTCCCGCAGGCGCAGCCGCTCCTGCAGGTTCTGCTGCTGGCTCAGGGCGGCCGCGGCCGCCCGGGGGCTCTGGGATCGCCGTGGAGACGCAGAGCTGGACACTGAGGAGCTAGGTGACCAGGAGCGCGCACGCCGTCGCCGGTGAGCCCACTGGCCCCGTGACTGCTCCTCTCCTGAGTCTGATTGTGAGGACCCATCCCTCGAGCACCACCGGGACCGCGGGGGGCTCCGGCTTCGCATCCCTGAGCGCTGCCACCGCTCTTCCTCCGAATCTGACCTGCAGAGAGGACCCATGGACACCTGCTCAGTGCCTGCCGCTGTCATCTGCTCCACAGATGCTTACTGGGTGCCCATAGGGGGAGGGGGGCAGGCACTGTTCTAGGTTCTGGGAATGTAGCAGTGACTCAAATACTGATGGCTTCTGCCTTCCTGGGCTTACCCTCTGGTGGGTCCCAACAAGGAAGAGAGCAATAAATAAACACACCATGCAACAGCAGGCAGAGGCAGAAGCCACAGAGTAGATGCCGAGCACAGGGGCTGGGGCTGCAGGGCGCAGGGCAGAGAGGGGCTCTCTCAGGAGCTGACACTGAGCCAAGGTCTGGAGGGAGTGGGGAGGCAGCGATGGGTGGATTTGGAGAGAGTGTTCGAGGCAGAACAAGAGCAAGGGCCTAAAGGCAGGCACTGACTTGGCACGTTCTAAGAACAACAAGGAGGCTGTGTGGCTCAGACAGAGTGTGGGGGAGAGGGAGGAGGCGACGGCAGGGAGGTGGCTGGGGCTGGTGGTGCAGGAGTTATAAGGGTATGAACCAGGCGACCCGAACGCATCTAGGTTGTCAAGGGAGGGCTTCCTAGATGGAAGTGGCATTTGAACTGGTCCCACAGGATGGACAGGAGTTAACACAATAGAGCGCAGGGAATGGAAGATGCACAACCCCAGGGGTGGTTCAGGGGCCTTTAATTTTATTTATTAGAGACAGGGTCTATTAGACACAAAGTCTACTGGAGACAAGGTCTATATTTTTATTCATTAGAGAGAGGGTCTCGCTCTGTCACCCAGGCTGGAGTGCAGTGGCACGATCAGAGCTCACTGCAGCCTTGACCTCCTGGGCTGAAGCCATCCTCTCGCCTCAGCCTCCTGAGTAGCTGGGACTACAGGCGCACACCACCACACCCAGCTAACTTTTTACATTTTTTGAACAGAGGGGGTCTTGCTATGTTGCCCAGGCTGGTCTTGAACTCCTGGGCTCAGGCAAGCCTTCTGTCTTAGTCTCCCGAAGTGCTGGGATTACAGATGTGAGCCACTGCACCCAGTCACGTTTAGGCGTCTTTGTACACACAGAACTGCCAAATATTTTGTTAAATGTTCTACCCATTAAGCTCATACCAAAAAATCTAAACTATGTTGAAACCACTCATTGCGGAGCCCTTAAATATTGGCCACAAATTCGATTGAATTTTCCTGAACATTAATTCTAACTACATATCTAGCGTGGCAAATTATTGCAAATAATTCCACTACCAGAAAATGGCAGACAAAAAAACACAAAGATGACATTAACAAGACTTATGCGGCCAGGTGCAGTGGCTCAAGCCTGTAATCCCAACACTTTGGGAGGCCAAGGTGGGCGGATCATGAGGTCAGGAGGTCGAGACCATCCTGGCTAACACGGTGAAACCCCGTCTCTACTAAAAAATACAAAAAAACTAGCCAGGCGAGGTGGCGGGCGCCTGTAGTCCCAGCTACTCGGGAGGCTGAGGCAGGAGAATGGCCTGAACCCGGGGGGCGGAGCTTGCAGTGAGCTGAGATCCGGCCACTGCACTCCAGCCTGGGGGACAGAGCGAGACTCCATCTCAAAAATAAAAAAAATGGCCGCGCGCGGTGGCTCAAGCCTGTAATCTCAGCACTTTGGGAGGCCGAGACAGGTGGATCACGAGCTCAGGAGATCGAGACCATCCTGGCTAACACAGTGAAACCCCGTCTCTACTAAAAAAATACAGGCCGGGCGCAGTGGCTCAAGCCTGTAGTCCCAGCACTTTGGGAGGCCGAGACGGGATGATCACAAGGTCAAGAGATCGAGACCATCCTGGCTAACACGGTGAAACCCCATCTCTACTAGAAAATACAAAAAACTAGCAGGGCGAGGTCGCGGGCGCCTGTAGTCCCAGCTACTAGGGAGGCTGAGGCAGGAGAATGGCGTGAACCCGGGAGGCGGAGCTTGCAGTGAGCCGAGATCCGGCCACTGCACTC